ATAAATAGGGAAAAAGAGCAAATTGGAGTAGAAGCCGACTTCTAGACTTAATTTACATAATATAATTAAAACATTGCTGGAACCCCAGCTCCCCACTGTGTTGAACTTTGCAGAAGCTGTTGAAAACTTGGGCCAGATACAGAGAAAACAGGGCCAATAGTTATAATTTATAAAGAAAGCAAGGATAAAACTAGACAATGTCATAATCTTTTATCCTGTGATCTGAGGATCCTATTCCCTATATCACTTGACAGATTCCCTAGGATTTTACAGGGTTTAATTATTTAAGTATATTAGTCATGCAGTTATTTCTGTGATGCTGATGTTTTGAAAATTAAAACAGACCAGCATCATAATGTGCAGTCAGACATTTTCTCAACAACAGAGTTGGGGTGGGGGGGATTCCTTCCTTTTTGCTGCTTATCCCACCCATGTCTTGAAAATTCATGCATGATCATGTGAAGTTGCAGTAGTATACAGTATATAGTATATATACAGTATAAAACCCCCTAGAAATCTCCAAATTCATTTAACATTACAACATTATCATTTTCATCTGTCTTAATTAGAAATCTAATTTGTGTCCATTTGTCCTAAAAAAACTGCTCTACAGTACCTCAAGAGCCTTTGTGAAATAAGAATGCTTCTGCATTCCAGTGAAAGGTTCATACTTTTCCTCTTAAAGGAATATTTGAATCTTATTAATCTTTTATTGCCTTTTTTGGGGGGGAGGGGGTTGGGGGGTAGTGCTGTTTTGTAGTATTATTTTGGACAGTGTGCTTTTGTCTCATTTAATATTGATTTAATTCATTGATTTAGTATTGATTTAATTGATTGACCACAAATGCTATGAAGCAGCTTTGTTTTTGCTGACATAAATATCTCAGCAAACACCTCATGCCATACAGTACATGTCTCTAAATAGTCTGATTGCAGCTCATCACTTGAACTGCCACCCTAAGCTTTCCCATTGTCTGCCCCGAACAAAGTGCTGCAAGATTGTCCGGCACATTATTATGGTGGTTGAATTCGCTGAAATTGGCCTCAGACTTATTGAAGGGAATTTGCTGCCTTTTTTAGAGGGGGGAAGCAAATAGCAGCAGTTTATAACTGGCATGAAACCATAGACACAAACCACAGAGTGATTACCTGTGTTGAAAACTCTTGTGTTCTCTTCCAAAGCCTAAGAAGTGAAGGATCCTTTTAACTAGGTGCCTGCAGTGCAGAAGTGTGCCACTCACAGTACAATGGGTAATTGTCCTTTTGTATTCAAAGCATTGTAATGTTATCTAAACTAGTGTAATGGGAGCACATCTACAGTACGATCTAAACTACTTTAATATCGTTAGTATTTATAAACACAAATGATCTCAAATGACTACTATGCATGTATACCATTGTCATCAAATATTAACATTAAATTTAATATTTAATTTTTGAACTGACAAATACCTTAAGAATTTAAGAATTTACTCGTCAGTTTCTCATGGTACCTAGGCTAATTATTAATTTCATTTTCCAGGTCAGGTAATTTTTTAGTGTTTTTCCCGCATCCTGCATAATAAATCATTTATTGTTTTTGTTAAGTACAATTACTGTACTTCCGCTAAATATCAGCCAGCGGGAATTTGCAAATTAAAATATATTTTCTTTGATAAGAGGAAGAGTGGTGGAGGAATAGGTGTAGCTAACCACTCCTTTTCCGATATGGATGTGTGCATTAGATCACTACTCTGCTGGAACGTCCATTTTTAGCCAGGCTTACTTTTCTTGGCAGAAAGAACCCAGCATCTCTTTCTGAGCTACACATTGGAGTTCATGTCTACCAATTCCCATAAATGCAAATCAACCCCAAAATAGTGTTTTCTCCACGTGAGCTCCATGTACTTTACACCCCCAACCCCCCCCCAAAAAACACACAGATGATTTTCATTTCATGTGATCAAAAGGCATTATTTCAGTTGCTGTTCAGATGTCAGGTGGGTTAGAGATTCTCGTTTCTGCGATTCCCCCTCAGAAGAAGATTCTTCCTCAGAATCCGGTTACGAATACCACATTCATGCAGGCGACTTTGCATAGCAGTTTTTGACACTCCATATCGTGAAGTGTGTTGGAGATCTCCAGCTGCTGCCTTTTGATTTATGACCACACCACTTATTTCACAGCCTGAGGTGACATGATGCACTTCTTCTTCCTAGCAGGGTGATGGCTATTCCAGCAGCCTTAAATGTCTTAATAATGGACGGTGGATGGTGGAACATTCAGGGTTCTGTGGGGTTTTTTTATACCCATCTGCCACCACATGGAAGTCAACGTCCATTTGCACGCAGTCGTCAGAGAGCTCTCTGACCTCAGCCATGTTGATCCATGCTGCTGCTGCTGAACGTCTTTTCTTTGTATTCCCCGTGGGAGACAGGAAACCTCTGGGGGCACCTACTGTTTTTATTGCACTCCCATAGAGCAGAATGTGACTCTACATTTGTTTTCCATATTATAGTTTTATTTAATTGAAATGAATCCTTGGGATTGGACAAAATGTGACCTTTTGTTTTCTGGAATTCAGTTATTTGACACATATGGCTTTGCCCCATGTGATGCTACTGTATTGTGATTACTTTATAACATTCAATTTTGTAAGTGAGATGAGTTATTCAATCATGCTACTGTATATGTTGGTTGATTTATTTTAGCTGTTTCATCAGAGATTTGGATAAATCTGGAGCACTGTATGTAGGCAATCATTTCCTTATTCCTATGAATGCATGCATTCTGTCAGGCTTTAGTTTAACATGTATCTTTAAATAAACTTTGATAAGATGGGTATTGAGACCAAATGGTCATTGAGGACTTAAAGGTTCACCTCAAACCGAAGGATAATGGAAAAGGAGATTCATGATTGTACAAAAAGATATGAGATTGTATTTAATCAAGCTCAAACTAAAATTGATTGCATGCACAAATTAAATAAGTGTAGATTCCCAGCATAAACGATTCTTACAAATTGAAAATGTTTCATCTCTTACTGTACACCTGAAATGGAAAATGTCAAGATTAATGTCTTGAACTGTAATTTATTTCATACCATGCACAGTTTTGGCTGTGTCCTGTCACATTACATCATCACACGGCCAGGCCTCTTCTATGAGAAGGCTTGCATTAATAACTGCTCTTTTCTGGCGGCCTGATATTACGGACTCATTACCCACTGACACTACATGGTGATTAATTGTCAAGATGTCACAGTCTATTTGAAGTCACAGTGTTATTTTACTTTAACCAAGGAAAACCTGAAAGTTTTTGGTAATGAAGAATAAAGAATATAATTAAATGTCATGTCATAATCAGCCGTGTACATATAAAGAAAAACTCCTGTAATTAACTGAACAAATGATGTAATATGTGATCCAGCTCTACCTTAAAATAATTCATCTTAAACACTTGCCTTTGACAACGATATGTTTGCTTTGACATGGATATTGTTTGCCTTTGTTTAAAACATTGTTAGTCCAGGTGGAAAGTGAAGAGATATTTAGAAAATGTCACAGTAGAAAGAGTCATAATGCATAACAGTAGCTGAGAGAGGTTTTTGTGAGACTCAAAGCTGCCTCCTCTGTGTTAGTGCTTTTCATTAAGGCTCACGCATAAATGTCAAGCGAGATAACACACTCACTCTAAGGCCAGCAGTATTTAACAGACAATGAAAACCCAGCTAGAGCCCACCTATTGTTTGTTTTCTCAGAAGTGCTTCTACCACTAAATGTTTGTGATTTCCATCCCTTGCTTCAAGTGAAAGGTTTGTGGTGCTGGGGCAATGTCCACATACCGTATCATGCTTGTAATTGTGACCACTGAATTATATCTGTCCCATTCCAAGTGCCTTTGATGAGCATAGCAACTCATTATTTGCACCTGCTTCACAATAGGTACAGAATGTTACAGAAACAGACTGCAGCTTCATAAGCAAACACATAAGATCTTTATACTGAAACTTATTATTACTCCTTTATAATTTACCCTGCTCTTTTTTGTTTTTATATTTAGTCTTGAAAGTACTTTTAAATGTTCCTTTACATATTCATGGATTTCTGTTTTTAATTATATTATGCTTGTTCTACATTAAAAAAAACAACACTGGTTTTCTACACTGAAACAATGATACAGTAAAGACAACAAAAATTGCTGGTTTATTATGGGTTGTTAAAACATTTATTTCTATAACAAATGAAAAGGGCAAATGTAGAATTTGTTGAATGACTCCCTAGCATTCCTACCTATGTGAGCATGTAAACTCACATTTAAAGACTAATAATAAAATGCTAATAATAAAGGACCTCTTTTCCAGCAGGGAATGACTCATACTGAAACTGAATATCAGTTCAAATTGGCTTGCAGAGAGTTTATTAGTAAGCTCTGTGTATAAACCATAGCTGTGCTGGACATTTGATATGACTGATGCTTAGGTATTTAAAAATCAAAATCTGGTGCTTGAACCTCAATTTAGATACTGTTCATAAGCTCCAGTATCTGAAATATACTATACCATATCTCCAGTTTTTCTGTAAGGTCTTTGAGGCCAGTCATCAAGCTACAACCTTTGTCACCTAAAGTCTTAATTTCAACAATCTGATGTTAATTCCTTAATTGTTCTCCTTAATTGCAAAGATATTATGTTGAACTTTTTTTCCCTCCGTTGAATCACAGTATACTGTAGGTTTCCATAAAAAACATGACAAATTATTTTAACAAACCAACACATGTTACAACCATGTATAAACCATAATTATGACAATGATATTTAAGAATTAGCATTATTACTGTACAGTATATAGTAACCCAAAAAGACTTCCAAAGCTCCCCAACACTTCTTTCTAGGAAGCCCTGTCTAAACAATCACCTGAGCAGTGTATCCTGAACACCTGTAACATTTTTAGCCATCTCTTAAATGATCTGTATTTTTTTCACCTCTGTTAAAGACCAGAGAAAAGACACACATGTCCTACCTCTCATTGAAAGATGTTTCCACATGACTGTCGGCTCCGGCCTTCCAATTGCAAGACACATGAGAGTGATGGTGCTACCTTCATTCACTGTGATGTCACTGGAAATGTTTACAATCTTCGGGGGCACTACAGGACAACAGAAAGAAACACGTGTGTTATTCCCATGAACAGAACAAAGTGATTTATTGACTATTCATGATCCATTCTTTAAGAGGAAAACATTTTGTCAAGCTTCCAGTGTTTGAACTCTGCAGATGAAAGGGTAATTTATCTATCATAAAGTCTTTGCGGAAAACATGCAAAATGTATTACACTATTTGCATTCCATACTGTGGAACCTGCAACATTTCTCTAAAGCCTTCCAGCTCCTTGGCTATAGCATTAAATTTGGCAACTTTGCTAATAATAAATAAATTGTTGCCATGGTCATTTGGGATCAAATGCAGATCGTGCTTCTCAGGGAATTACTGCCAAGTTGGAAAAGCAGCTCCCACCTTTCAAAGACCAGTTTTATTATTTCTAATTTCTGAACAGCAATATTGTACTGTACTATAGATCACATTTTTCTAAACCGCAAAAAGGGAACTCAGTCCATGTTGTTTTCCAGACACAGGAATTGAGAACTTAGAGATGTTCTTTGAAAGGATAAAGCCAAAGTGGAGGACATTAAATTAAGAAGAATTACTGGACAAAGATGCAAAATATACATATTTGAATTTAAGGTATAGCAGTGAAATTAGAACTATCCAGATTTGATCCGTTGTGCTTATTGTTTGATTCTGGGGTAACAAACTTGCATTATTAAATATAAATACTACTGAGTGTGACAGTCTGAAGGATTTTGAGTGACCTGAAAACCATGTATTTCTGTACTTCTGAACTGACTTTGATAAAGTTTAATATGTCCTGCAGCTGCTCCTTGCTGTCGGATGTCCTTGAGCTCCATATGACAATGTTGAACTTTTAAGTTACATAAAAATGACATTAGTTACATATACAGCAGTGTACTGTATATGACAAATTGTAATTTAAAGGGCTATCTGTGTAAAGTGAAATTCTACTTTTCCCGTCTTTTTTCTCAGTTATGTTACAGAAATTGTGGCTTGAAGTGGTCATTTAGAAAGATGACTGAAAAAGAGGTAGATTTAAACTGCCTACTCATCATGCAACTTTAAGTTTTGGTTATTTATACATACAGTGCAGCAATTAAATATCAGATGTCATACTGTATGTGGTGTGAACAAGCAATAGTTGCAATTCAAATTATAAATACAATAGTTACAGCTCTGCAAAGTACAGTTAAGATTAAATGGAGTAAGTGCTCTTATTAACATTATGTTTTCTTTTTTTAGTATCCTGTGGGGTATCTTTTATATTTCTTTTGGTGAATTATATGAATAATGGCACATTATGAAATGCCTTTCTTTGCCATATTTTAGAAAGTAATGAGAATTTTTGCAAACCCCGAGTAACATTTAACTCTTAACGCATATGATTTATCTTTGCAAAAGCCAAATTAAATGAGCGGGGCTGAAAGGGATCTATTGACTTTATTATTCACAGGAAAGTTAAGTGGTTCTGTGACATTGACCATTTCTTTTATGCTGGCAGCTCCTGTTGAAAAGACCATTGTGTTGATTCGGAAAAATTGAAAAAAGTCAGAGCCTGCGGAATGAGTTTTACCAGACAGCAGTTGCCTGCCTTCTTGAAATCAGAAATCAATACAGGATAGATGAACAGGGAGACTGGCAGGCCTGTGTTATTAAACACCACATCCCTGTCTTGGGCAGCTCATATAAAGACACATTTATGTTTGCAGTGTGTTTTGCAAGTGTTTGTATAAGACGTGACAAATCAACATTTCCAACACCCCAAGTGTAACAACTTATAGTTGTTTCTGTGTCTCTAGGTCTGAGACATTTTAAGCTTTCCAAATCCATAAAATAAATGGGCTTTTTTGCAATTCATTCTGCTGAGGCTGTTACTATCTGAAGGTATGTTGTAATGAGGAAGTCATTCCAAGAGCTGTTTTTCTGGTTGCTAAGTAATTTTGAGTCTCTTCCTTAAGGAGAGAGGTGACTGTGAGGGATCTACACTACCCGAGGTGCCTTTCATTAAAACAAAGCAAGGGACTGGAATTGTGAGGTGGGGGGTGGGGGGGTAGCTGTTAAAGGGAAAGAGAAGGAAAGCTTACTTCTGTGATATAGAAAGGCCCTATCTATGTGTGCATGTAAATCTGAAAGCTAAGAACATCCTGCTGTGATTTGTATATTCAAGTGGTACTGTATTTCTTTATTGGATCGTCTGCCATTAGTTGCCACCTGTTCACACCAGTAGATCACAGCTGGTGACATCTGATACTCTAAATGCTAAATTATTGAGAAAAATGAATATTATAACATTCTTCAAAAAGAGAAAAATAAGCAGGTTCTCTGGCTAGTTAAACATAGGCTCTCTGAAATAAAATCTTTGATTTTCATTTTACCAACAGTACATTGAGTTAGCTGCCACTGAATTTGGTCATTCATCTGTTTGACAGTTTTTCATTTTAATAATGTAGCATTACAGATTATTGTGCAGAAAATAAACAAGGACAAGGTGACCTTTTATTAATAGGGGCTAACTAAAGTGTGCCTTGTTTTAAGTCATTTTAAAAAGCCTATTTCACTATATGAGTGGCAGTCGAATGAACAGCACGCAATATGGGAAGCATCCATTGACAAGTTAGGCTGTTCTGTAATTCTCGATACCAACCTACGGTATCTGAATGTAAACCTTGTCTGCCAAATGCTGCCCAGTAGTTTGTTAAATTGATACAAATAAAAGTAAATGTTTCTATGCCAGTGGGAGATGTGCTGCAAATAAGAAGCACAAGGAACATGGGATGAAGGAAGTGATCTGGATTAAAGCATGCGTTGATTTGCATTTTTACTGCGTAACAAATCCTGATATCTAGCAAACAAAAAAAAAACAGTAGATGACAATTGTTTAATAAAGATGTTGATAGATTGGAGGTGATGGATGCCATATTGTTTATTTCCTGGAACACAGAAGAAATCCCAGGATCGAGTGGCTGTGCAAAGGGAATAGAGTTGTTTCCCCAATCCTGGTCCTCGAGGAGTTCTGTGTCTTCTGTGTTTTGTTCCAGCTGAGCTCTTAATTAAAATTACTGAACCCTAAATTTAAAATCCTGCTTGAATTTAAACATTTTCAGCACTGAGGCCTCATTTACAGAAATAATCTCTTACAGTATGTGTATTATTTCTGAGGACTGTAGTAAACAGACCTCTATTCCTACTTGTTTTTAAAATACAATAGCTTTCATGTACAGTAGCTTTATAATCCATTATCTTCATTTAATTGCAATCTATTGTGTTGCATATACTGTACACAGGAGGGAATGTCACTTTAACGTTTAATCAGCTTATACTATAAGAACTCTTAGTGCACAGGACACTAATACAGGATCAGTGATCATTCCAAACCCTCTCCTATAATGTACGATTGACTAGTTCAATTGAAAAAGTTTACAAATCAAAGGATTTAGAGGGAAATAACACGAGACGAACAGGGTGGAAATCTTGGACAAGGACTGTGAAACTCGAACATTTTTTGTCTTGAACATGCTGAGCTAAGGGACATGACAACGTGGCTATTTGAAGCAGTCAAATCCTCTCGTGTGAAATGAAGCCACGAACGCATCTGCAGTGCTCAGTTCAAATAACCTTTACAGGCACATTGAAGGTGTTTGTTAAGCAGTAGTGTGCAATGAACTCAAATTCTTCAGTTTTGGACCAACATATAAAAGAGTTCAGTAGCCTGAAGGCCTGTGATGGAGAGCTGGATGAACTCCTCTTCAGTCAGTCTAATGGGGCCAGTGAAGCAACATAGGTTGAAATTCAATCTATGAAGTGGACAAAAATAGAGATTTTAATGGGAGGTTATGTCTGCCCCAGAGGGAAAATATAATTTAATACACATTCCGTTGTCCTTATTCTATGGTTTTGTACTTTCTTTTAACCAAAAAAAAAATCAGCCTTCACTGGAGGACAACAAAATGTTTCTTGCTTGTGTGTTCCTATTATTTTGACGGCCTTTTCCCATTATTTTAATGGTCATTTGTGCATCCTTTACTGCAACTACACTTCAGAGGAAAGAGACATTGTACATTAACGATTCTCCTTACAATATGCTTATTTTAGTAGTTGTAAAAGACGTGCTTCCAGCTATCTGCTTTGTACAATACTGTAAATCTCTTGGAGCGGTAGGCTATTAACAATCTGGGGAAATGACTAATTGAGGATATGTGGAAAAATGCACAGAAAAAAAAAATTCTTTTTTCAGAGTATTCATGAATTCTATTTCGACTGTGGATTGCTAGAGTGCAAGACTTTTGCATGATTTTATGATGTTGTTTTCCCAATTAAAAACAAATAAGTATCAAAACATTACATACCAAAAAATATAATTAAAATTAAATAGCTTCTCAAATTCTCAAATTGTTAAATGTCTACATGAAACAAACGAACACAAGACAGACAAGTTTGTTTGGTATTTGTTTGTTCATTTTGCATTTACTGTAGAGATAATTTAAACTTGCCCATGAAACTTTTTTTTTATATTTTACAATAACTGAAATTAAATTATAGTACTGGTTTATAGTAAACAATACCATAAATAAAAAAAAATATTTTATAAATGCTAAGATGATCTTTTTAACATTTTGTATGCACTGTGGTAACATTTTTAAAATGTCAAATCTAATAAAAATGATATGATTCAAGGAAAGCCCAAAGCTGGTTGCTAAAATGATAACATGATAGACGTTGTCTGCTACAAGGAGGATAAGCTGTAGCGATTTAAAAAATTCAAACAGTAAAGAGATCAGATGAAATAAAAGCTGTCCTTGCCACCACTCTTACATAAAAAGATTGCCATTAAAGCAATTTGGATTGGATGTCACTATCAATGATGGAGACATTATGTCTCCCAAAACCAAATCTGTCTTTGTTGTTAAATGGCACTGTGATGGATGAAGTAGTTGCTGAAAAAAAATGAATTCACACTATTCACATGAGTTATTCAACATTACTTTCATGCAAATGTGTTTAACATGAAGTTGATGG